GGGGGTGTTGGTTTAGAGTAGGGTTGTTTTGTTCAATTAAGATGGATATGAAGAAAAACTTTAATATAAGTTTAACATAACAGTAAATGTACAACGTTTCGACAAGGTTTTGTCATCATCAGGTACAAGAAATCTACACTGACACGGACATATAACTTTATATATGTATGAAAACGTTCTCCTTCCCTGTAAAAACGACCATCTTACCCGAAAGTTTCTCAAGTTCAAGACTGCCAGTAACATACACTGTTTCTCTAAGTAATGTTAGAAAATACGAAATCTTGGAAATTAAAGATAAAGCCTGTCAAGTGAAAATTCAAAAGAAAATTTAAAGTTCGTACAATCGGGAATATATTAGACCAACACTAGATGGCGCTGCTGTTGAATATAATTACCCTGTAATAATAAAATCTACATCACAAGTAGTATTACCAACAATGGCTCCCAGTGGTACAGCGGTAAGTTTGCGGATTCATAGCACTAAAAACCGGGCTTCGATACCAGTGATGGGCGCAGCACAGATAGCCCATTGTGTAGCTTTGTGCTTAACTAAATACAAACAAACAAATTACCAACAACTGTACAAACAAATGCGATGTGCCTACCACCATTTTTTTTTCTCCCGCGTCATTCTCCATTCCCGGGAAAAGTTTCACCTTATAAAGCTATAATTTCTTGCTAAGAAAACCAGCTTTTAGGCATACCATTGCATTTGCAGTTGTGAAAATGTAAAGAAAAAAAACAAAGCATGAACATCAGTCGTTATTACCTTACTCAGTAATTCAGCTTTGGAGAAATAATTAAGTCTGCAGCAAACATGGGTTTCTTTTGGTCATTTAAAAACTATGGTTATATTTACTACCTTTCTCTCTTACATCTCAAGTCACGCCAAATCACACCCAATGATTTTTTTACAATCGTTACACGTTTTATTTTGAGAATTTGCACGCAAAGCTACATAAGGGTTAACTATACATAATAACTAACCTTAAATCTGAGCTGGTACACTAGAGGGAAGGCAGCTACTTAACAGCACTCAACGCCAACTCTTGTGTTATTCTTAGCTGGTAACTACTAAGCCTCGCCCGTTAAACAAAATGGTCACCTTAATTTCACTGCATTGCACATGGTATTTTATAATTAAAAAAATAACCCTAAATAAAAACGTTGTGGTTTCAGTTTTTACCTTTGTTGTCGAACCCGTGGGTAACTTCATGTCCAATTACCACTCCGATTCCCCCATAGTTAAGGAACCTTTGAAAAACAAAAACACTTTTAATACTCTACAATAATAGCTAAACAAGAACTTAAACCAAAACTACTCACGAACCTACTTGTAGTTTAAACTCTAACATACACCTAAGTAAAAAAACCGAAACCTAAACTGATTATATATATATTGTTACGACAACTCAGGTCACGTGACGCTTGTATCACGCCACTTTCTTCTCGAACCTTCATGAAATATCGGGAGACTACTAGATTGGGGTAGTCTTGTATATATTAGACCGGCCAAGAAGCAACGGAAGGTAATGAGTAAGAATATTGTTGAGCACGTGAGAAGTACGTTGTGAATTACAGCGTTTGTTATAGCGCGACTGTTGAAATTAAGTGTATCGCAAAGTTGTATTCAGAAAGAATAAACCAGTTTTATTTAAGAAAGGACTTGTATCGGTAAAATTCTTCGGGAAGAATTTTTACGGAAATTTAACAAACGAACGGAGACGTAACAATATATATTTTAAATACAAAATTTAAACCTAAATAATGAAACCGAAACCAAAACTCTTTACGAAACTTCCTGTTGTATATTTATAGTGTAAACACACAATTTAAACCTAAATAACTACATTATAAAGCTCTAAGACAAAATCCTCTGAGCAAAATCGGATCTTTACAGCACAAAACTGGAATTAAAACTCTTCACGAAATTTCCTGTCATATTTTTTTAGTTTAAAGATTTTTGTCGTTCTTCAAAATCGCACAAACATTGTAAAGCTGAAAGGGTTTATTATTCCAACGAATTTTTTTTAACGTTTCTTTCAAATAACCAAATAAAGGAGTTCATAGTTCTATTCCAATCTCCTGGGTGGTGTGGAAAATTCTTGACTGTTACTGATTGATAGATAGTTTCTGAGAGAACAAATTTCGTGGAAAAGTTTTTCATATTTGCATTACAGTTGTCATCGGATTCTGTGATGTTTTACGTTAAAAATAGGTTTGCTTGAACTATTGACAGAATTAAAAGGTCATTCACAATAAAAGAAAATGGGTAACAATTACACCATTATTCCAATGTTACTAACACTAACAGAAACACCATTATTCCAATGTTACTAACACTAACAGAAACACCATTATTCCAATGTTACTAACACTAACAGAAACACCATTATTCCAATGTTACTAACACTAACAGAAATACCATTATTCCAATGTTACTAACACTAACAGAAACACCATTATTCCAATGTTACTAACACTAACAGAAACACCATTATTCCAATGTTACTAACACTAACAGAAACACCATTATTCCAATGTTACTAACACTAACAGAAACACCATTATTCCAATGCTACTAACACTAACAAAAACATCTGTTTCTGTTAGTGTTAGTAACATTGGAATAATGGTGTTTCTGTTAGAGTTAGTAACATGTGAATAATGGTGTTTCTATTAGTGTTAGTAACATGTGAATAAAGGTATTTCTGTTTGTGTTAGTAGCATGTAATAAACCTTTATTAACATGTTACTAACACTAACAGAAACACCATTATTCCAATGTTACTAACACTAACAGAAACACCATTATTCCAATGTTACTAACACTAACAGAAACACCATTATTCAC